CGATCAGTTCCACGTTTCAAGCACAAAGAGGTGTCTGAAATTCACCGGTATCTCACGCTCAAAGGACTAAAATTGAGCGGAAATGTTATTTAAAACCGGACATTTGCTCTCGACGTAGACGGGAAATATCTGTGCACGTTAGTTGTACAGATGGACCGGTATGAAATCCCAAAAAAAAATAAAAATTCTTTGACATTTTATTGGAATGTCAACAATATGCGCGTCCAAAATATTACATTAAGTTAAATAATAAATAGACTGCGGATTTACATTTAAACAGATCGCAACGGCGATGGTAAGAAAGTGTTAATGAGAAGCACACTAACAAAGTAATGGGTAATTTGACAGACAGAGAAGATACAAATCTCACAGTGATAGTCAATGCATTGCAAAAGTATACAATATTATGTACACAACGTTGCGACAGTAAGAATTTATATAAAATTGACAATTTATATACCTTATCTATAGCAATAATTAGTTCAATAATCAAACTTTTATGTATACATAAAATTTTTATCAACAATGAATTAGTAAATTTTTCTTCATAATAGTTGTTCATTATTCTTCATTTGAAGAATGCAAACATGATTCGAATAATTTATGTAGATTTGATAATTTAGTTCTAGTGATGTTCTAAATTATCGTATACTAGCAATAACTTTTTGTAACATTAAATAAGGGGTTAACGTCATCTCAGTTAATTTTCAAATTTACCAGAAAAACTTTTACATACGTATATTTGGAAGTAGGTATTTAAGACAATTTTACCGAATTTCATGAAAAACGGAGGGGTGGACCTTTTCGGACCTGTAGCCAGAAATAATTTCTAATTTCAAGTAATAATTAATTTAACGTTAGAATTTAAATTGATATATTGTGTACTGGTTTGAGCAAGTTTCCTTATTACATCGAATTTCTAAGAATTCCGTGGATGTAGAGGTATCTATATGTACGTAATTATCAAACCCTAGATGACGTTACTTGTTAGCATATTAATCGCAATATTATTCATGAGTATCCTGGTATGTATCGTTTTGGCTATTACTAAAGTGTACATAAACAGTAGTAAAATCAATGTATGTAGTTCATTTATAGGTACATTTACTGTAAACGAAGTCAATCAAATATAATAGATAAAGAAAGATTAATTATAATGTTTGGAAAATTTTAAAAAGTTCAATTTTGTATATACATTTACGCATACTAAGGTGGATATTTTTATTATTGTCTATTGCCATTACCAACAATTTCGAGATCGTTTCTTGTAAATTATAATACAGTGATCCCTCGACGAATGCGACACGATCAACAGCGTTATTCCCACAAATTTGCGTTTTTAACTTACTATTGTCAATACCAAAATTCGACCACGAACTTGTGCCAATGTGCAGAATTTTATAGAAATTTGTACATTCTAACATTAAACAAATGTTTATTTTTTCTGTTGACGATACTAATGAATTATCGAATAAGCAAAAGTCCTGGAGAACGTTCTTCAAGTTGTTCATTTAATATATTTTCTATAGTATGTCTGACAACACTAAATTCTTAAATTTCACACTTCTTTACTATATACTTTGAACGACTGCTAGTACAACAATAATTAATATTTTTAAATTGAACAGGCACAGTCTTCTTTGTCTCGAGATATTTAAAATATTGTATTTCGACATCTGCATCAGCCGGAGTTTTCTGACACCTAATTCGTAGATATATAGAAACACCTTAATTTTTCCATTAAAATAACAGACAGCAGTTAGTTAAAAAATCACTCCTATAACTGTTCGTTTCTACCACTGTCACTGTGTAGGTTGCATTAGCCTACATTTTACGCGCCAGTTTAATCTTACATGACCAGGGAAAATGATATATAATGACATCTTAACTGACGGCTCTAATGCTCCGAGCCAATTCGACAGTTTCTCTTTCGAGAATAGAATTCTCTAATGGATACAGAGAGCAATTTTGTAGACCGTAGTTTGCGATGGTCTGTCAGAGAAGTAACAGGATCGATAGCGTAGAAACGTCTAAGTTACAGTGATCCCTCGAAGTGTGCGACACGAGCAACGGCATTATTCCCATCACTGGGGGAGTCCCTCCTGTGGAACCAATCAAAACAGAGTAAACAGAAGCTAAGCAGAGGCTCTGCCTCGGGCAAAAAACAAATTTATGAGGGCCTGAAAACCTTTCCGCCATACCACGAGTGCTTCGAAGTCAGCGCCGTATCAAGAGGGGGTCTAGGGGGGGCTGTAGGATAAGAAAAGAAGATAACAAAATATACGACTTTCTTCATCGAAAGTTGTTTCACAAAAGGCTTTACTTCGAATTTTTCATTTGTGTCAATATCTTCCCGAAAAAATTGTCACTATAATATACTTAATATACTATAGTATACTAAATTGATCACTATAATATACTATAGTATACTAAATTGATCACTATAATATACTATAGTATACTAAATTGATCACTATAATATACTATAGTATACTAAATTGATCACTATAATATACTATAGTATACTAAATTGATCACTATAATATATTTCATGAATAATAAAATGAAAACAAATGCTCTGTTTTTCACAGGTAAATGAATAGAAAGACATTAAGGGACACCTATTAAATTTGTTCGTTACTGAGAAGAAAAAGTAATCAAGGTAACCGAGATGCATAAGAAGAAGAGAATATTCTTTCTTTAATGCGATTACGTCTCCGTGGCTACGAAGGAGAATTTAATGGGAAGCAAACAGGCAGCACGGTAGGAAGGAATGTACCTACCAGTACATGTCAGAGGATTCTCGTTTTAAATTGCGAATGGTGGATCCCCGATTTCGTACTGATTCAATCATTTAGAATTTAGACCATAGTTTCCCAACTATAGTCCCATTTTCAGTTTTTTATTGTTCAGCGCCCTCTTCGAGTAAAATATCTGTATTGTCAAAATTTTCCAATTGTAGTCGTGTGCGTAATTTTTGAATTTTGAAAAATTAGATTCAAAACAAAATAACTTCTGCCCCCCCCCCCGATCTCCTTGGCGAACCACGTTGAGAACCGCTGATATAGACTCACCTAGAAGAATAGGTTATGGAATTTATTCTGAAGGTGTATACAAAATTGATTTTCGTCGTATTTAAGACATCATTTCCAACAGCCATAATGATAAAATATTTATTACCACGTCTATAGTAACTCAAGAAATACCAAAAATAATTACATAAAATTCTACTAAAGTTGTTTCAACAATGCGAAATTGCGAAAATTAAGAATTCTTTTATTTTAATATATTTAACTTTAAATAACTTTCAAAAACGATGCCCCAGCGCGCTAAAACCTTTTTTTTTATGTAAAATTTTTTGGTATTCATACTCCCTCGGGTCGTTTGGCAAATTGGCTTCATCTGAATCGCCATTTTAACGCCACCTTGCCACATTTTCGAAAGTTCGCTATCGAATTACGCACCTAAAAGCATCTCGCTACAGCCGGTGCTCTAAATATCATGCAATTCAGTTATGCAGCTAACACGGTGATGCGAGTAGCTCGCATATCACTCCTTTTTTTTCAGGTGCTCTATGTACCATCGGCCTCTTGACACGCGGTCAGATGTCATCAAAGATGATAAGAATACGTTCATTTTTTGTTCATACATCAATCGAACACGCAGATAGGCGAATTTTCAGGAATTACAGAGCAGAGAACAATGAAAGAATAGGAAATCTTGAGAAACAGATGCAGCTATCATCTCTCCCGTGACCATCCCGTACAATGGTCCAGAATCAAAACTCAGCAGTTCAAATTGGTCAAACACAAATTTCTTTTACCTTTAAAAAAACTCACATTAACTTATCATTAACCATGGAAAGTTTGTTCCATGCTATTTTCTTCTTAGTCCTTTTTGTATTATCAAACTCAGTAAAAAAAAAAAAAAAAGAACAAAAATTCCCCAAAAATTTAGACTTTCATGAAGATATTGGGAAGACATTTAGATGGGACAGGGACAGAGGCAGTTGCCAGTCAATCGGTGGATTTAGCATGCGAATATTTTGAGAATATTATAATTGCAGTAAATCCTCGATGAGTGTTCGAAAGCACAGTTTTTTAATGAGATTTAGCACAGCGGTAGACCTTGGAATTCCGAAGCCAATAATACTTGTTTCAGCTGCATATGGCCAGTAGAGGAGCCCCCGAGCACTCATCGAGGATTTACTGTATTGGGTTGTTCGGAAAGTTCGTAGTGTTTCGATCGCACTGTTTTCGTTATCTTTTTACTAGACGAAGGAAGAATTGTTTGATTGGTGGACAAGTATTCTTTTCCAGGTGCGAATTGAATGCATTTGCTGTACAAGTTATTTGTCATCTTTTTGTCATGTGTGAGAAGTAATATGGCAATATGTATGGATAAGCACAAAATCCGTCTCCATTGTGTTCTATCCAACTTGTAAAATAAATAATTACGCTATTTCGACTGCAAAATTTCATAGCATCTACTCAATTAACTAGGCTTTGCCCCATCATATGTTTATTCCTTTGGATTATTAGAATATTTGGTATCAAAGAAAAACTTCGAAAACAAAATACATCCAAAAGCAGATCGATGAGTTCTCTTTAGCTAAAACAATCGAAGTTGTATACAACTGGTAAAATGAAATTAATTGAGAAATGGAAAGAAACTGTCGAAAACATCCGAGATAGTACATGACACCTTGAAGACAGCTTAAAGGCGCCTTAGACCTAAAATAGCTCAACTGAGGAACACCCCAGGCCTCTGGGGTAGGGGTCGTTACCGTCAGCCCCACTGACGAGTCTTGGTAAACTATTCCAAAGACGAAACGCCATGTTTTTGCATCGCCTACAATGGGTCTGTTTATATCATACAGATTGTAAGTTTACCCTTAAAAACGCTAGGAAATTCCCGAACAACATAATACTAATGAAGATTTCATTGAGAATTGAATTGTTCAGAGATGAAGTGTAATATAAATTGATTTATGTTCCCAGGAGCCTTTTTGGTTCCGTACTGCATCATGTTGGTTGTGGGCGGAATTCCTCTCTTCTACATGGAGCTTGCCCTAGGTCAGTTCAATAGAAAGGGAGCGATCACCTGCTGGGGTCGTATAGTACCGCTTTTAAAGGGTAAGTGGATATTAATTTTCATTTCGTACACCACTGTCTATTGATACTCGAAATTACACGAGAAAGTTATTATTCTAATATTTGTATATACATATACAGGGTGTCCCAAAATAGCTTCGACTCCCAGAAATGAGGGGTTCCTTGAACAATTTGAAACAACTTTTTCCTTAGCAAAAATTTTATCCGAGGCTTTGTTACCGAGATATTAACGAAAAATGCTGACCAATCAGAGCGCGCGTCTTTCGGCCGGTAGACTCGCGCTCTGATTGGTCAGAGTTTTTCGTTAATATCTCGTTAACAAAGCGTCTGATAATATTTTCGCTAAGGAAAAAGTTGTTTCAAATCCACCCAGGAATCCCTCATTTTCGGGAGTCGAAGCTATTTTGGAACGCCCTGTATATACATGTATAATAATATCTGATTCCATAATAGATTATGGAATATACAGTAGGGTGGTGCTTAAAACTCAACTTTTGAAATATTGTTTGGACACTCTGGACACTTTGTTCTTTATGCTGAGAAACGAGCTTAGTTAAAATTTGATTTTATTTCATACTATTTTAGAGGTTGTTTTTTAGAACACCATATACACACCACTATAGTTCTGAACTCACCAAATGACCATTGTACCAGTGAGCCCGTTAAATGTATTGGAATCTACTGGACGACTGAAGTTGTCCACGAAACTGAATGAAACTTTGGTTGAAATGATTGCTGTCAATCGAGATAATACTCCGTCATCGAGCGATTACTTTTCCCGTCCACTCTCGGCGAGATTTCTGGAAAAACGTGCACGAAGCACTTTGCCGTCACCTTTTACAATGACGAACGGAACATTAGGCACATCCAGTATACTTTCTTTTATTGCACACTACGGGTGCACCGCAACGGTGCTCTCTAATGCGTATAAATCCAGGGAAATCCGTTGGGGTAGACGACCCACTCTCGGAAAAGAAGCTCCATTTCCGTCGATTTCCTGCCCTCATCGCAGCGATTTCAGCCGAGGACCATCCTGATGATCGATGTAAGCGCGGGATTCCTCTTGACTCTTGTCTCTCCCGCGTCTTTATCCTTTTGATCCACATCGATGAACAACGTAATTGATTCGTCGTCCGCGGCGACCCTCCCTGCGGGATAATGGAATACTTATTCTCTTCTGGCTTCGAGGATTGGATATAAGACACGTCCCGGGAGGTTTTTAATCCTTTCGAGATGAATGTCCTATGTATAGAATGAAATCCTTTCGCTTTATGCATTAAATAACTACAGTCCCTGGCGACAAAAATTGGGGCTACCCATAATTTTCGAAATTTTCTACGGTAATCGTAGAATTAAAAGGCCAGAACGTAATTTAATAATGATTTTTATTAACCCTTTTGCTAAACATTTTCGTCAGTGTGCATTTTTCAGAATTGATATGGAAATCGTCAAAACACTAAAAATCTTACTAGATTAAACTCATATCATTTATTTTTTGTAAGAGCCTATTTAGATTTTAGAGCGCCTGTGGGCGCCAACCGTGTATAGTGACCAATGTGAAGTGAGCGCTTATAGGCGCTAACCGTTTGTAGTGACCAATGTCAAGTGAGCGTTAATAGGCGCTAACCGTTTATAGTCAGCAATGTGAAGTGAGCGCTTATAGGCGCCAACATTATTGAAAGGGTTAACTACTAAAGTATGTACATATACATATATTACATACATACATATTGTTATGACGTTTGAAGCCACGAAGCTGGCTCCGCGTTATAACTGAAGATGCCTCTGACTTCGAGAATCGACTTGTGGATCGGTTGCGCTTTCGCTGACAACCGCCAGTATTTAAAAAGAGAGTCTCTAATATGACATGAGAGAGAACAGACGTACCATAATTAAGTTGTACATATTTACATATAATTAACGTCGTACAGCTGTACAGTTGTAAATAAACGTTGTGTTGTGTTGTGTTCTATAATAAAACTATTATGTCGTGTGGCGGAACGCCACGGTGTAACAATATTAATAATTTATGTATTATTGTATGCAATGTTTTATTTTTATTTTTTACTTTTGCTAGGTAACTCTCTCGGCATGAATCCCATTGAAAACGTCTAGAGTATACTTGAAACCCTTGTATGTGCATCAGCTGTCGCCACGATAGATGATTAAAAAAACATTTTTTTGGACATTTGGCAAAATCATTCGAAAATAATGGATACCATAAAATAATGCATAAGGTGTATGCCGGAAAAGGTGCATGCTTTAATAAAAGCAACGGGGGGAAACACAAATTATTATTATGTATGTATGTAATATACAGGGTGTCCCAAAATATGTTGTAACTTGTAGATTTTTGTTGCACTAGTTTTGTACAATTTTACAAGTTACCAGTTAAATCACTAATATTATCAGTACATTGTATAAGTGTTGAATCCGCAATTAATGAGATTGTACAAACTGTACAAATTCAATTGTAGAATTTTTACAAGTCTTGGAACGTTGATAATTTTATTTACAGGTTAATGTTTCTGACTATTGATTAGTGAATCTGTATTGATTCTGTTAATTTTAAATAGTTTAATAACGATTGATAACTGCTCTTTGCCATTCTTTATTGATAAATTGTCCAAATTATACGTACAACTTTAGTTTGCGTTGATCTTCACGTTTACCGATTTTTAATAAAAGAAAATACACTTGGCTGTATTAATCACTAATGCGCTTTTATAAAGACGCACATAATCTAAAAACGCGAAATAAGACACTCAGTTGGCTTGTGATTGATAAAATTTGCTTGTAATTAGAACTCTCCTTGTTTTATTAAGCAATTTCTTACTACTGTGGGACAGAATCTATCAGGACTAGTGACTTGTAGTTCGTGATTTGTAAAATTTCACCGATTATTATTAGTCCAATTGTACAACAGGGCTCTGATCTGTCGAAGCAGATGGCTTAGATTACTCGAGTGCCCCGATGATTAAACGACTGTGAATATTTTGGTTGCTAACACTAGAATTAATACGAGAGTGTATTTTTCAATTAGGAATCGGATACGCCGTGGCCCTAATTGCATTCTACGTCGACTTCTACTACAATGTGATCATTGCTTGGGCGCTGAGGTACTTCTTCGCCTCGTTCTCCAGCCTTCTACCTTGGACCACCTGCGACAATCCGTGGAACACACCGCATTGTCGCGCATTCGACGCGAACGTTTCTTACACATTCGACGGTTTGTCTATGGTCGATACACTGGATCCACGAGACTCCAGTAATTCGACCATGATTGAAGATTACTTGGACAGATCCTCTAATCTAGGGTACAACAATACATGGTACACCAGTGCTGCACAAGAATACTTTAAGTAAGTGTGCATTTCTAGCATTCTTTGAGTTTTGTACTCAGTATTCCTAGTTCATAAAATGTTATTATTCGTAAGATGAGACTAGGTCGTGGGTAATCAAACTATTCAAACGTGTTTAAACCAAGGGCTTGAAAACTCTCATCAGATCGATTTAGGTTCTGGGAACAATTACGAAGAACCTTTATTTTGAACAACTGTTTTGAAGGACCTAAATTTCAGACTGTATAAGTTTCAGTTGCGATTCCTATATCAGCTCCCATGTCAGTTCTATAACTGTTATTTTTTAGGTTCTATATATAGGGTGTCCAAAATAGCTCCGACTCCCGGAAATTAGGGTTCCTGGGATGGTTTGAAACAACTTTTTCCTTACCGAAAATGTTATCCGAGGCTCTGTTAACGAGATATTAACAAAAAAACCCCGACCAATCAGAGCGCGAGTCTGCCGGCCGAGCTCCCGCGGTAGCGTTGGGAACGCGCTGCGATTGGTAGCCAAAGTTATTTTGGGACACCCTGTATGTAAATTCCGAGACGGTTATAAGAACACTGAACGAAATTTGTCAGTAATTATTATTGAAGAATTGCCTCAGAAGTTGAAATTGCATCATTTATTAATTATTATTGATAAAGACTTACTCATTCTCATCGAATGATTAATATTGCATACGTAGTATCTTAGAATATCATATACAGAATGCATGTTTACCGGCGTAATAGTCGACATTCTAATTATTAGTAATTTCTAACTCAGACAGGAATATTTAAAGCAACGAATTTGATTTCTCATGATAATAATCTAGGTTTATATATATTACATTCCAAAGAAAAAATTCTTAACATGTTTTTTTGAATATTTAAGGTCACAAGTCTTTTGAAAGTGCACTTTTTAATGCACTGTAATACAAATGATAAGTACCATCTACCGTAAATAATAAAAATTTACTAAACAATGATTACATAACAATGAACAACAAGTAAACGTATTTAACATAAGTAACAAATATTAAGATTAATATAAAAGGACATCGGATAATACATTAATTTTAATTAATAAATTGTTATAGATCAACCATAGAAATTATTTATGCATAAAATTAACAGTAATTTTTAAAATAATTCGAATTTTCTTTGTACCTATAGTTTCGCAAGTGTAAACCGTAACAATTAATAACGTTTATTCCGATGCGTAAAAAGACATTAGAAGATTATTACAAAGTTTCGAGGAAGACGGCAAATGTTAACATATAATAATGAGAAGCAATATTTTTTTAAAGTTAATTGAAAAATTCTGTTTAAAGCCGGGCTATCCTAGAACTTCACGAGAGTGAAGGATTGCACGATCTTGGAGCAATTAAATGGGACATTGCGTTGTGCTTGCTGGTGGTCTACGTTATTTGTTACTTCTCGTTGTGGAAGGGTATTTCCACTTCCGGAAAGGTGAGCTTCAGAATTACCAATTATTATTATTATCGAAATAAATTAAGTTTAAATAATTATTTAAAAAATTAGTTGAATATTTAATTTATTAATAAAAGCACTGTACTTTAGTAATTTATACATATGTAAAGTATACGGTACAAATGTTTCTATACAATTCTATTTCAACAATTTTATTCTCTAGTTTTCTACTTTCTTAAATTATCCCTTTCAATTTTTTCCTTTCCTAGTGACTTCATTTCCGCTAGTTCTAACTTCTTAAATTCTTTCCTAATTTGCTCAAGTAATGCATCTTTTGCTTTACTCTGAGAAATAAAATGGTTTGAATATTCGTTTCATATTTTCTTGTTTTATAGTCATTGTTAAATTTTGCAACTGAAAATACAGATGTAAGACTTACGCGAGATTTTAATCATTATTGTGGAATTGAAAGAAAAACAATTTGTTTGTCACAGGTAGTTTGGTTCACGGCTCTGTTTCCGTATGCTGTTCTACTAATTCTGCTTATACGAGGCGTCACGCTGCCAGGAAGCCAGGAAGGGATACGCTACTATTTAAATCCTAACTTTTCCGCTATCACTAAAGCAGAGGTAATATAAAACATTATTTACTGTATTAGCTGTGTAACGAGTAATCTGCTGTATCCTTAATAATGCAGCAATATTGTTTAAATTCGAACGATACCGTTATTTTTTATTATTTTATTTCCTTCGTCGGGGCATTTTAGACATTTTCAATACCGGCTCCTTATAATTTCAATTTCGTTAACAAAAGGGAATAATAGACAAAAGACTCGAACATTTGGTCTGCAGTTCGCCATAAACAATACAGACATAAACCCTACCGTTGGGAGACTCGAAATTTCGTCGCGGTCAAGTCGCACCGTGACACGTGCGCGATATTTTTCTAGCGTCCACTACGCCCCGAAGGAAAGGTTTTCCACCTCCACGTCACTTGGGAAAACCCAGGAATTTGCCTTCCCCTTCAGAGCATAACCAATAAGAATGCGAATTTTGGTAACGCCTTCGGCGAACTTTGAAGAAGCGCGACGTCACACGAAACTCATTCATTCGTATTCGATCCCTCGCAAAGATTCGTACTCGTATCTCGTATCGACAATTACGCACTCTTATCGACAAGAGTTATTCGGACTCGAACATTCATTCGAAAACACTCATTCGACAAGCCACGCATTCTTTGATCATTCGACAAGTGACGATCACAATACTCACGAATCATCAGCTCCACCGGTCGAGGCAATTATCCTGTTTATTCTCACTTAGAGAATATTGAAACAGTTGCCTAATATTAATTTGGCGGGCAACAGTCGCAACTGTACGCGTACCACGACAGTCGAGCCTGGAGTTTACAACTCCAGGCGGATTCGAAACAGAATCCGCGCGGACGGATGCGGCAGTATCTTCCCGCTCTTGTATTTAATATAAGGTCAGTGTCCCTATTTTTAGTCATTTAAGAGTTCTGCTATCGCAGAAATTGATTTTTATTATATATTTACGCAACAATCAACAAAAAAGCTTTTCAGGTATAAAATTTAAACCTCCCTTTATAATTAAATTTAAATAAAAGTATTTTTAAAACATTTTAACTTAATAATAGTACATTTAATATTTTAATAATTAAATAGTTAATTTAACTTAATAATAGTACATTTAATATTTTAATAATTAAATAGTTAATTTAACTTAATATTAGTTAATTTGATACTTTATCCCAACTCTACTTGTAGACTTTCATACATATTCGATCCAAAAAAGGTACTTTCAGTCGCCATATTATTGGATCCGCCATTCTGTATTTACAGTTCGTAATATCAGATTCGGAATCAGAGACCCCGAAAACCTCTAAAAAACTGCGGATTTTGATGAAAGAAGACATTTTCTACAGTAATTTATAAAGTCAAAAGCAATGGTAAGAATTTCATTCTTTTCGTATCTTATTGGATTCAGAATAAAGTAGAAAAATCGTTGGATCTGATGAAAGTTTTCTCTTTTATTGTATTTCACAGACTCCTATAAGCTATAAATGCATAAAATCCGCAGTCTACCTATAACGTTCATTGTTTGAAAAAGATTAGTTTACTTTATTAATATTGCCTAGTGTTTCGGGTCTCCGCTGTGCAGAGGATCTGTTTAGGCTCCAAGAAAAAAATTGGAGTTTGCCTCCCCCTCTTCCTTCCCAGAATTACAAATTTTTTTTGTAATATTTAATATAGCAGTATAATTTGAAACACGACCAACAGCCTTTATCAACAAAACGCATACATTTTCAACGATTTATGACTTTAAAAACAGAAAAAGGCCTACATACGGCCTTTTTCGCTGTGGCAGTCGATGTGTTAATATTTTTGCCCTCCCCCCCTGGCTACTTCAATGCACGCATTCAAAAGCCCTATCATAAATTCTCCAACGGTCAAATAAGCGACAGGCCATCCGCCTGCGACTCCACTTAAAACACGTTGGCGCTAACAAGCCTACCTAACGACAAGGAGTCTTTTCCTTGGATTCGGTGTATCTATCAACGCCCCATAGTCCCAAGATCTATCAACGTCCATAATCCCACCGCAGTCCGCTTGATCTCCGTGACAATACGCGCAGTCGAATCGAAAGCAGGGTATTAAACGTGACGCTAAGAAACTCCCCTGTCCCCTTAAAACCCTCTAACAATAAGTGGAAAACGTTCACGTTCCTGGTCACCCGTGCATTTGGACTCGGAGAATAGTTTTCTTACTGGATGATCGCGGGCATATGAAGTGGCCACTTATCGTGGCGCTACGTGAAAGAATAAAAAAAAAAGCGCCGGCTAGGAAGCTAATGCAGCGGCATAAGAGGGTCGAGAAAAATCGGGCCAGCGGCGCGAGAAATATTGGCGAAGGGGGGGATGGGAGGGGAGCAGAGAAACGTGCCGGGTTTATCCGACGACGCTGAGAATGGAAACTCTGTGTACCTGTCATAATGACCATTAGAGTTCGGTCAGTCACAGGCCTGGAGAGCCAGCACGTCCGACCCTACCGAGATCGTAAGTGGAATGCATTTCTCTCCGGCGTGGTAGCCGACGCGCCCTTTGGATCGCTAAAATGGATTTTATACAGCGACCGAAGAAATTTGTTGATTCCTGGAATCCGAGGGATTACGGGAAATCATCCTGCACGCGTCTTCTACCCTAGTAAAGAAGGATTCCGACTTTTCCTTTCAACTGGACCACGCGTTCATGGTTCTTCTTCATCTTTAAGGGGGTTGATCTGTCCAGAGACCCGTAAAATATACACTCTGTCCTGAAAGTTTCCGAACTGAAGTTCTAACAACAGTTGGGTGTAATTACGAAAAGGTCTGCACACCACTTCGTCCAAATCGTCCTAAATACCACCTAAGTGACGTATGTCTGGAGGGTTTTTTGACGCGAGGAAAAATCAACTGACGCAACAGTGAGAGCTGAAATAATAAATAGAGGATGCCTCAGCTAAGTAGGATCACCTAAATATCTGTCCTATTTAGAGTGACTGTATCGAATATGAGACGGGCCTAATATAAGAGCCTATAGAGTACTTCCACAAAGAAGAGCTGCAATACTGCAGCAATGCTTGAAATTATTAAAACAATTGACAACGTCGTCCGTATAAGTTTGTTTTTTTTCGTCGCTAGTTTCTACAGTCATTTATATAAAAGCTTTATATGACACTAGAGGTAGCTTCGAGTCTTCATATTAACATCTTCCGAGACGATGTTCCTAATCTGAGACCCACGCCGTCCCCAATACAGAGATCCCTCGATGAGTGCGACACGAGCAAACGAGTCCCCCTGTGGAACCAATCAAAACATAGTAAACAGAAGCTAAGCAGAGGCTCTTTTTCGGGCAAAAACAAATTCATGAGGGGCTGAAACCCTTTCCACCTTGCCATGACTGCTCCGAAGCGGACGTCGCACTCATCGAGACATTACTGTATGTGTAGGTGAAATAGTAAAAATTAAAATGCGATATTTACTGTCTACAAATATTACCGTTTTACTTTTGAAAATGGCAAACTCGATTTTAATTATGGACAGATAAGATATTCCATACCTTAATCTCTGTTTATAGGTATGGGTGGATGCCGCAACGCAGGTGTTCTTCTCTCTTGGGCCGGGCTTCGGGGTGCTGCTGGCTTATGCGAGCTACAATAAATATCACAACAATGTTTACAAGTGAGGAACAAACGTAAAGTTAAAGAATATTTAATGAAACGTGCTATGTATATGAAAATTTTTAGCGTTTGCCTCGTGAAGCAATCGAAAATAGTAACTCAACGATGAGTAACAAACTCGACCATAAAATCAAAAGTTTTCCGTTGAGAAACAGTGATTGGAATCTCTATATGTATACACACCCAATTCTGTTTTTACACGAACTTTTTGTACACGATTTTCATTTAACATGAATTAGAAAAAGAAATTTCATTTCCTTCTTACACGATCTGTTTTGATTTGACACGATCTTTGGATCAGGATTTTCTGTCCGATTTGACACTTCTTTTGAGACGAATCGAATATTTCTCACTTTTTCATTTTTTGTTTGCAAAAGAAAGATTTTAAAGTATTTTTACAATTTTGTATTTAAAATTTTTTTAAGTAATTAGCTTTCTAAACTTTGACTATTATTTTTTTACTATCAAACGGAAGCAACCCTGCAGATTAAAAAAAAATTTTTTGCACCGACTGTGTTTTGAAATTTTGCATGTTACTCATGCTTCCAGGGATGCTTTGTTAACCAGCCTAATTAACAGTGCAACATCGTTTGTCGCCGGATTCGTGATCTTCTCTGTGCTCGGTTACATGGCTCGCGCGAGCGGAAAATCGATTCAGGACGTAGCGACTGAAGGACCCGGTCTAGTGTTTATCGTCTACCCGGCTGCTATCGCAACTATGCCTGGATCTATGTTTTGGGCACTTATCTTCTTCATGATGCTGCTTACTTTAGGACTGGACAGCTCGGTATGTGCTTTACTATATAGGGTGTCCCAAAATAGCTTCGATTCCCGGAAATGAATGGTTCCAGGGATGATTTGAAACAACTTTTTCCTTAGCAAAAATTTTATCCGAGTCTTTGTTAACGAGATATTAACGAAAAACCCCGACCCATCAGAGCGCACGTCTTTCGGCCGAGCTCCCACGGTCACGTTGGCTACCAATCGCAGCGCGTAGCCCACGATACCGCGGGAACTCGGCCGAAAGACGCGCGATTAGTCAGAGTTTTTCGTTAATATCTCGTCAATAAAGCCTCGGATAACATTTTCGCTAAGGAAAAAGTTGTTTCAAATCACTCCAGGAATCCCTCATTTCCAGGAGTCAAAGCTATTTTGAGACACCATGTATACGAACATTTACGAACATTATGTAAAAATGTAACATAAGATCCTTGTGATATGTAGGAAAAAGAACAGAAAAAATGTTGTTCCGAAATTTTGAATAAAATATAACGACACAATAGCCGCATGGTCGTATTTCCCGCTGAGTCATTTCGCGGTGTAATTTTTCACGTCCACACCGCTGCAAAATTCAACAATGTACACACTGACATGGGTTTATAATGCAGTACATTAACAGGACTGGTTGTTGTTTCCACAAAGCCATGGCAACCACATTCTATTTCAATATTTGAATTTGTTCGTCTAAAAAAAATTACTGTTCTGTTATTAATTTAAAGTAAGACAAAAAACAAATCTATTTGTGAATTAACTTGATATATTGCAGGTTCACTACTTGAAACAGCAAACAATGTCCTTATCAGTTTCCATATAACATTGTAATATTTCTTCTATGAATATGCCAGTCTATATTTTCATTTTTAATTTAATGCATTTTCCTGAGAACAAATCACTTTGAATACCTACTGAATTTTATTGTTCAAGAGCAACTCAATAATAATTATTCTCATTAAAATGACATTAATTATTCCAAAGCCCTTGAATTTCAGAGATTACGTCAGTTGTTTAAAACTTGTATTATTTGAAGGCTGTTGCTCCCGAAAGGGTAGAATAAAATGTTTCAATTGTGTTAATCACTCATTATTATGTACGTGTTGTTAATCATGTGCATTTATTTTTATAGTTCGGAGGTTCTGAAGCGATAATAACTGCTCTCAGCGACGAGTTTCCAATTATCGGGAACAATCGTGAGATTTTCGTCGCTTGCCTTTTCACGCTTTACTTCCTCGTCGGATTAGCTTCGTGCTCACAGGTAGACCGATTTAATATTATGTAATATTTGTTTAATTGTAGTCACGTGTCTTAATTACAATCACAGATCACAGGATGCCCCATATTCAGTGCGATATAAGCTTTTATTTCCGCATTATATCGATATGATTCGGCAATGTTGAAATTTTAACGTTTTACATAATTTTTTATTAAAATCACTGGCCGAGTACTTCTCTCATAATACCAATACAATAAACTCTAATATAATGTTTTTTATATTCTGAAAATGATTAAAAACTTATCTAAATTATGTGTTAATGTAATTATATTTTTAAAAATTTATTTAAAACACTTAATTTTAAAAGATAGCTTAACTGAGAGTACACCGTAAAAAAATTACCATCAAATACGGTATCTTTGGTACATTTAGACTGATCATTTGGGTGTACAGTGGACTCGTGATATATTGCCGCTTAATGTATGGTTAAAAACATTCACGATACTCTGGTATCATCGAATTCCGGACAATATAGTAATTAAATAATCCGATCAACTTTCGTCTGAAACATTTTTCCGATATGTATCAGTTTTGGAGATACTTTCGTGGATTAAAATGGGACATCCCCTATTACAGCTGCTGTGCCAATTAACAAAACGTACTACTCCTGGATATTAGTTTGTAAAAACAAAACTAAATATTAGTATTGTGTTGAAAACTGGAGTTCTTTACCGAATTGTTTCGCTATTTCCATTTGATTGACACAGCAGTGTAACTTACAGTACCGATCCCCTAACTGTTCCGAACAATGTGCAGTAAATTCTCGATGAGTATTCAAAGGCTGATCTGCGTTTAACATTAAATATTTCATAAAATAATGGCCATATTCGGCTGAAACAAGTATCATTGGCCTCAGAATCCCAAGCTCTATCACTGTGCTGAACCTCATTAAAAACGAACATTCATCGAGAATTTACTGTAGTTAGATCGTTACTTGTCAGTCAGCTTTAGTATGATGTGCAAATGAATTTCTAAACTTATTTTCACGTTTGCACAGGGCGGTTTTTACTTCTTCCACCTGTTGGATCGTTACGCAGCCGGATACTCGATGTTGTTTGCAGTTTTAGCCGAAGCGATAGCCATTAGCTGGATCTATGGAACGGATCGATTCTGCGCGGATATTAAAGACATGATCGGGTTTTCGCCAGGGATTTACTGGAGGGTCTGCTGGAAGTTTGTCGCTCCAATATTTCTTATGGTATGCTTAACAATTAATTTACAATAATATTAATCCAAAATAGTAAATACTATTAATTCATAGTAATAAAAAATTGCATAATTTTAGTTTTGGAAATTTTGCTTACAATTAGATTCAAGGAATAAAAGAAGCGAAAATTGTAAGGGTTAATTTCACCCTAATGTAAATTATAATTGCTTATTCTGACTTTAACATTAATTAAATATGTAACATGTGTTACACAATAAATAGACTATGGAAAGGTCTGTGCAGATGCAGATTTTTACGAAATAATTTATAGAAACTTAACTCAAACAGAAACATTGTTAACAATGTTGTCAAGTCCAAATAATATAAAAATTTCATTACAGTTTAATAAAGCCTTAGTTGCACTGATTTTGTAGGCATCGTGTATGGTATAAATATTTTTAGATATTTTAGATATTGATTTATTATAGTTACTTTTGTGAATACTTATAAGCACTGTGTGTATTCACCAAATTTTCTAACCGTTAATAATTGTTGAAGCAATATTTCATCGATCTAAATAAAAATTGAGTATAAAAAAAAAACAGCAAAGCCGTTTTGTCTACGTATAATAATTCACGTAATTTTCGCAGTTTATTATCGTTTATGGCTTAATGGGCTACGAACCATTGACTTACGAGGATTACGAGTATCCAGTCTGGGCAAACGTATTAGGCTGGTTAATTGCGAGTTCCTCAATTGCCATGATACCTGGCGTTGCAATTTACAAGATCATCGTCACTCCGGGCACCTTCATGCAGGTAATTACCTAGGTCTTAGGGTAATATCGTTTATTATTTTTTTTTAATCAGTACTTTATTTAAACATATTCAAACGTTAATACATACATTTTTATTAAATTGTAGTGTATTATATACAATATCTATTCCCTGAAGACATATGACGCCTAATGACGCCTTGAAGACCGTTTAAAGACGCCTTAGGCCTAAAATAGCCGTAAAATAGGCGTCTTCAAGGCGTCATGTGCTATCTGTGGTGTTTATAGCAAATCTTACATCAAACTTGTAGCCATAACTTTATAACAGGCATTGGAGAAAATTTGGCTTTGCAAGTTTGGACAACTGGGTTGTTTCTTAAATTACAGAGATTGAGGGTGCTCACAACACCCTGGAGGGACACCCAGCAAAGGAATGTGGATTTATCCGCGGTGGTGAACGGCGCTGTTCGTCGTAGCTTCATCGGGGACCAGGACTTGAATCTCACCGACGAGCAAAGCGAGTTAACCAAGGAACAAACGGAGGTGATGATCCAGTCCGGGGAGGGTATCAACGGAGATCCACCCCCGGAGCCAGTCTAGGACAGTGCGGTTGTGATTTTGCACGGTGCCCGGTTCCAAGTATACCTCTGCTAAGAAATTTCATCGTTGAGGTTTCAAACGTTTACGTTGCCACTGAACCACACGGACCTCGAACGCACTCACTTGAATCCATAGGACGCGATACCTTCGACGATTCTTTGCTCCCTGTACGGCGAGGGGACAGGACCTCTGCGCAGTGGATTGGGACGGTCTCAATGACGGAGGAGATCGTTCTTTAACCCTTTAACGGTGTTTTCGACAAGTATACGAGTCATGGGGAAATTACCATTTTTTGGGTGACGCATATACTCGTCATGAAGAAGGGTAATAGCGAGTTTACTCGTCATGAAGAAGGGTAATGACGAGTATACTCGTCATGAATAAATGACCATTTTTTTGGTAGCGACGAATATACCCGTGATGAGGAAATGATCATTTTTTGAGTAACTACTAGTATATTTGTCATGAGGGGCTGACCATTTTTTGGGCAATGCCGAGTATACTTCTCATGTGAAAAAATGGAATACCTTCTGCTATAAAAACCGAAATTTTAGTAAAAATTACGAAATATATTTCTTTTATTGGAATTGAATAAAGCAATCGAACGGCGTAAGGTTTTCATATATGTTAATTTATCCTGATTTCTTTAATTACGAATTTTTCAAGGTTGTATTAATAATATATGTTATATTAATGAATTTTCTGGGTTTTTAAATAAACAAACTTGTAGTATTTGCCATTCTGTTTGTGATTCGATTCAAATTTATTGTAGGTGCATTCATTCTGCGTTTGACGAGTATACTCGTCGTCGCTTAATTTTAATTCCGCACAGAATACACATTTCCAGGAGAAAATACCACCGTTAAAGGGTTAACGCATAAGTATTGTCCGACGTTACGACAAATTCTGTCCGTCATAAGAAATGAAACAAAAATTTGTAGTTTTCGTTGCTATGAAACTTGTTTTTTTTCCTCGAATGTTTGAACAATTGTTTCTTTTACAATAATTTCGTTTAAAGGAAGGAAAACTGTACATGACAAGATTTGTCGCAGTACTTATTTGTTTAGTGTTTTAGAATCTCGTCTCTCCTGATGAAATTTGTTCGGTTTGTTTTAATTATAAATAATTAATTGTTTAATTGTTGTAGGAACGTTATATCCTTTGTACGAGTGACGTGGTAGTTGGTGGTCAGTGTACTAACACATTCATACTTGGTACTTTCTTCATTTTCCTAATTGCTGGTTACTGCATTTTAGAAACTGAAATATACACTGTAGTTAGATGTTACAAGGTTCCATCTTCAAAATGAAAACGGAGTCGTTATAATTATGATTTTCTTCAAAATATCATGTTTGTAATTGCTTTGTACTTTTTCGTTATGAATCAAAGTACAGATAATGCCAATGTTGTATGCATCTTGTGAAATTCGCTAAATTATTTATTAAAAATATTATACGAATATTTTCATCCAAAAATAAAATTCAATATTTTGGTATCTCTTGGGTATCATTTGAAGCATATTTGGTATATTTTTCTGGTTAAAATGTAAAAAGATGTATGTATTAATACATTAGCTGCAGCTGCAACCAGCTATAGTTTGTTAAATGAAGTAATATTATGTAAGTAATTAGGAAGGTGTTAATAGTACATTAAGCCACCAAAACGCCACCCAAACAAGTATTTCCAAATCGGACGTAACGATATAATAGAATTATTATATTTGCTTTATCATCGTTTTATTATACTTTCGTTTATTATGTTTGTTGTAAATAAACGTTCAGAGACTACTTATAAGATTTTTAGAATTTCTTTGAAAATCATTTGTTTCTCGAGAGATCACGTCGAAGCTTTTTTAAACGGAATCATGTTTTTCTATATCCTTACACAGATCGAAAGGACGTGTTTAATAATTAGCAATAACACACTATTATTAGAAGTGCACACATATAGCGAAATCTTGAATGAGAAAAAATTCACGCAGAGGTTTATTTCTTTAATGAGAATACAATAAGATAAATAAACTTGAAAGTTTTTATTAGGTTTGCCATTAAGTAATCCACTATTTTTTAATAGTACCTCTAGATGAAACGATTTTTCCTTTGCCCAGTAAAACGGTAACGAAGACACTGTGCTCGAAAAACTTTTGAAACGATCCAGTATTTTTTGTGATTTAATATTTTACCATTCCATTTAATGTATTTACTATAAGTGATCCACGTGTAGACATACTTTTTGTATACACTGTATGTACATCCTGTATATAAATACTTAATGTACATATGTCAAAAATATCATACAGTATAGGTACTTACTCTTAAATGAGGATCAACAAATTGGATTACAATGGTCGATTGTAAGAAAATACATACTCTTTTTGGGACACTCTGTATACAGAGTGTCCGCGCGAACAGTATACAGGCCGTTTCTTCCCCAAACTATTTGAAATGCGGGAAAGCTTTTTCGTAACATTCTTATTTTAAGAGATATGACGGTCAAGTTTTGGTTTTTTAAAAGAAATGATAAATTATGTATATATTTTCGGATCACTTTATAGTGCGTCTCAAGATGAATTTAGTAACATTTAATGTATACAACCTTTCCCAAATAGTTTTCGAGATACAGTAAAGTCTGGATGAGTGCGACGTACTCGTGTCCACTTCAAAGCATTCATAAATTTGTCTTTTGCCGGAAGCCAAGCCTCTGCTTAGTTTCTGTTTACGCTGTTCTGATTGATTCAACAGGGGGACTCCCTCAGTGGTGTCGCACTCATCGAGGGATCACTGTATGTACTTGTTTCTCTATCGATTCAGAGAATCGACGTTCCACTGTAATCTTGAATCCGATACGCATGAAAGAATGAACCTGCTGCCAGAGTTGAGCACAATTTTATTCGAATAATACATAGTGCCCAGATAGCACATGACGCCTTGAAGACGGCTTAAAGACGCCTTAGACCTAAAATAGCCGTAAAGAAGGCATCTTCAAGGCGTCATGTGCTATCTGGGGTGAAAAGTAACAATATCTAAGGGCATAATTGTTTGTTGATTCATTCAAGAAGATGTATTAGTTTAGTATAAAAATTAGAATTTCCACGTTTAAACTATTGAAAATGAGAAAGTGCTTTTTTTTAACTTTTATTCGAAACTGTTTATTTAAATAATGAATTTACCCATCTCTGCCTGCTGCAAATGTATTAGCGCATAAACCGAAATAAATGTACAAATCTGGAGACTGCATTACGACTAGTTGCTCGAAGAAGAATGCAAAGGGTTAACACGAATTTGTTCTAATGTTAAGACTCCACCGTCGAATGGCAGTATTATCACGACTAAAATTCTTTCCATTTGATCGTTCGAGCGCTATCACAACGTCCTGGCTTGGGCCAGGCGGACATGCTGTGTAGACTATACGCGAATTGTATTTCACCAATCTGGTGTAAAACGTTACATTATATGACGTATTCACGTTCAAATGTTATCTAAATAACGATGCCTATCTAAAGAGAAAAGTAAAAAGTATTATTGTCGGTTTAATATTTAGAATAGATCAGTCGTTAGACAGACAATGCTAAGGGAACGAAAGCACAAAGGGAATGGACTGTCACGAATTTCATTTATTGAAACGTATTTAAATGAATTATTGACCAGGTAACCTGTAAATAAAATTTGCATAGTTTTCGGTTTATTTAAGTAATATTTATGATATTGTTTCTTTTGTATCATCGTTTGTTTGTAGAAAATTTGTATTATTTATAATTTCTTAGAAAATCGTACTAATAGAATCCAAGAATTGGAAAACCGAAGAAAAATAGCTGTTCCAAAAACAGGAAGTCTGTCAAGCATTTGGCCAATGTAGATCGTGCGTAAAATTGATGGTAAACGTAAAAACATCTATATTTGCAGATATTTTTACTCATCGATACAACTACCAAGATAGCACATGACGCCTAATGACGCCTTGAAGACGGCTTAAAGGCGTCTTAAAGGCGCTTTAGATCTAAAATAGCCGTAACCGGGTGTCTTTAAGGCGTCATGTGCTATCTGGGTACATCTTCCGTTATATGACCTGGTTCTTCCTTTTAATTAATTCACGAATTTCTTTGTTTAATTCTTTAATTATTTAAAGTAAAACATGACATGACGTCGCTTACAATTAGTAACAATAAATTACTAAGGCAGATAAAGTGTTGAAATAATTATTTAGAGTTGGTTCTTTAACTTCATGCTTATTACACAATTTACAAAAAAAAAGTCTATAAGATCGCTTTTCTTTATGTATTTTTAGTGCTTCTTTTAAGACATCAAAATTGCATTGATTATTTTTTAGGACAACTTCGTATCTCTTCAAAGACGAATTTCAAGGAACATTTCTATTTCTAATCATTTTCTTGCACGTTACTAAATTTATTGTTTTAAAGCGAACGAACAAATTTCGAAACTGTACTCGAAGCAATTGTCTGTCTGTCCTTGACTTTCCGAATCGACGACGAAAATGGTTGAGTAGGGATTAAGTATTCAAGAAAAAAAAAGTATTATCGTGCATTTGTTAGGAAAATATTCTATGTGCAGATATACATGTATGTACGATATAGTTTATAGCTATTGTTGTTAGATAAATTGACACGTATGTATGTATGTATGTATGTATGTGTGTGTGTGTAAGTATGTATGTATGTATACATATGTACAGGGTTAAATCACCGGAAATGAAGCCTGTAAATGTCACATCTAACTGCGAGATTTTGAAAGAAAGTTCCAAGTATGATTCGAACAATTTCAAGCAACGAATTCGACTGGAAACAATTTTTTCCTTTCAAAAACTTGATTGTCTCCTTTCCACTGAAAACGTTTTTATTCTTCAAATTAAGGTTTCAATATGGTATAGTTGTGGTCGAAATTCAACATATCTTTCCACTCATTCGTTTAGTTAAAATGGCGGCGGATGATTGAAATAAATAACGAATACTGTTAAAATAGCGTAGAGACTTTAATTATTTCGGAATAAATAGATA